GGGGGGGGGGCAAACACGCACACTACCTTCCATTTTGTCGGAAGAAATTGTCTTCAAAATCACGAAGCTTCTTTCGAATTCTCTTCTTTTCTTCTCTCATTTCCTGGAGGTGTTCCAAGAGTTCTGGTCTAAGAGGGGCAAAAAAATTTCGAGAAAACTGAGTTAAATCTGAATTGTCATAAATGCAATGAATGTGCAACTGGATAGGGCTTGTGGACACAGGGAAGCACATATGTGCAAAAAGTGCCGAGGGAGCTGAGGGCCAGCAGAAATGATGTTTTCTGTCCCCTGAACCACTGACAGCAGCTATGGTCTCTGGGGCTCCTGCTACTTATGAATTCTTTGGGCTTGTAAAATCCCATCATATTTTGATTTAAAAGAAAGAGCTGACATATGTGCTCAGTGAGTGTTAAATGATGAGCCTCGGAGGACAGAACCGCACAACGCCTTTTACAGAGACCGTCTGGTTGCTTAAGTTCGATCTCGGATGCTTCTCAAATAACACAGGATGAAGCATATTAAAAAAAACTGAGCCAGAAATTAAAAATAAAAACTCACTGTTTTACCCACACAGATGCACCCCAGGTAAGTCACTTGTGTTTTTTCAGCCAATGGAAGTACAAAGACCAAAATAATATTTAGGGAAGTTATTTTTACCCAAATACTTTACCACCGCCACCAAACCAACATACATCGAAGCAGCATGCAGATTTGAAAGCCCGGTGTCGTGGCTGCATTTTGATGGTATTTTATCATCCATTGGGGAAATAAACCCATCGGCATCATCCTCAAGCTGGTCGAGAAAGCAACGGGCGCTGAAATGGGTTTTCAGAGTGTCCGTGAAGTCCGGCCTCGTGTTGATATCGTCTTCGGAACCCTCCTCTTCTTCCTGGAGGTACACAGCAGCCCCAGCCAAAACCTGGTTACTTTTTCTGGTACTCTCATTACAAGTATCATTTAACAATCTAATTATTCAGATACCACACAGTTTCTTTATCTACATTTAGCAACACATAAGTACCTTATGGATATATTATTGAACACCTATCTGTACACAGTAAATAATACAAACTATACACAGGCACTCAATAGGGGGGAAAAATTATGAAAAAATTAGCGGACACCACAATTAACACTTGTCAAGGCTGAGGGTAGGAAGGAACAACCCTCATAATTTACATCTTCAGTCAAATGAAGCAGAAGAATCTAAAGATTCCCAGCTCTGTTACAAAACCCACCACTGGCAGTCAGTGCTTTCAGGATTCCATTACTTGCTCATCTCAGAACGTATTTTTTATTAAGCTATGAACATTCTCAGAAATTGAACAATACAGCCTTTCCATTTAAGAACTGAGATTATAAAATATTTTGTGGTTGCCTGATACGCAAAATCTTAGGAAACTTTTGAGAAGATCAAAACATGTATCTTCCCATGACTGGAAACATAAGCTTCCTAAGTTTTTTTCAAGGCACTTCCAAGAATCATGAGTGTATTTTTCGTCATCTGAGATTCTAAGAAAAGTATCATTAGTCTCTGTTTGCTTTGATGATAATGCACTTAGAAAACAATGAAGTCAAATGAGTATTTCTTAGTGTCAATTTTAAAGCTACTGTAAGTCTAAGGAAGAAATAATATCAGAGTCTGAAAAAAAAAAAAGGACTAAATTTTTTTTTTAATTACAGTTTACATTCAATATTATTTTGTATTAGTTTCAGGTGAACAGCATAGTGAAAGAAAGATTTTTAAAAGAAGTAATTTACTGTCAAAATGTACAATCAGACCAGGAGAGAATTTCCTAATATCTTGAAAAATGAAACAACTGGCTAGGAGTACAGTTATATGAACAACAAGAAGTAAAACATTAGTTGTTCTAGTTAAACCAAGTGGCTTCAGTGCAAATGCAGCAAATCAACCTCAGGAGGCAGGAGGTAGAAAGAATCAATATATAGATAATCTATGAGCAATTGATAAACAGTGAGCAACGGTGATTAGCACTGGTTCCTTAAAAACAAATCATGAGAACTAACAATTTCCCCTTGTCTGATAGGACCGGTATGAAATCTGGGCTTCAGTAAATGAGGGGAGCTGACCTACTGGAGGAAGCTGGCTGTGAAAATCTGTGCAGAGTGATGTGCAGAGTGATGCGCAGTGGCGCTGTGACTCTGCAGAAAAACCCGACTCTGCCTCACTCGGCATTTATCAATCATGTGGACAAAGGCACAAAAGGCACATTTACAAAACATGAAATGCAGAGTGGGTGGGGATAGCTAGTATTTTGGAATCCAAAATCTAAATTTACTCTATTTCATTAAGACGGGAACAGAAGTATAAAAAGTAACTAACTGGAAAAATTCAAGGTCCTATAATTAGGTTAGAGAAAAAAGCTGGACGCAGACAATAAGCGATCCATGGGAAAGGAAGCTGGGGATTGCCCAAATCAACAGTGAGACAGTCCACTCGCAGTGCTTCTCAACCAGGGTGATTCTGCCCCTTGGGGACCTTTGGAAATGTCTGGAGACACTACTGGTGGTCACAACCGGGGAGGGGGGTGGTACTGCACTACTGGCACCTAGTGACTAGAGGTGCCAGCCCCCCACAACAAAGAGTTATCTGGCCCAAAATGTGTCCAGTGCTGAGGCTGAGACATCCTGCTAGAGAAAGACTGAAATAAACTCACAAACATTGACAGTCATGCAGTCACAGACTTGTGGAACTGAGGGGCCCTAGTCAGCCCTAGGTGGACGTCGGGACTAGTCCTCAATCCTCTGCCTTGATGGTTAAACCACATCCAGACAGTGTATAGCTCAGGTGTCAGCTTTTAAGAAGGATACAGGTAGACTGGCGTGTGGGTACAGAGCAGAGCCACTAGACTGCAGGACCATATGAGAAACAGTAAGAAAAACTTGGCGAAAATGTTCACAGAGTGTGGGTGGGAGTGGGCAGGGCAGGTGACTAAATATACTAAGTGCTCTCATGGGGAAGCGCTGTGCTCATTCCATGTCATTCCAGAGGGCAGAGCTGAGCCTCTTAAGTAGAAAGTAATAATCAATAATAACTGTGGATATAATATTAATTATATTCATTAATCGTAATATTTTATAGTTATTAAACTTATACATTATAAAATTACATATATAAGTATATTTTATAATTTTAAAAATAATTATAAAACAATATTAAGTTTCAGCTATTACTGATGTTTAGCTTGCTCTCTCCACTGCTGTAAACTTGTCAAGCTTGAGGAAGGAATCTCTTCCTAGGGACAGTGTTTCTATTCTTTCAGCAAAATTTTAAAGTAAATTTTTATGTTGGATAAGAGAACTGACGAGATGGCCTCTCGGATTTCTGGGCTGGAAGATTTAGGGCCTCAGAACTTGAGCTGGCTATTTCATACACAGCTGGTTTCTTCCCAGGAACATTTAAAACTAGGGATGGTTTAAAAAAACAACAAAACACTTAGATACAATCTTCTTGTCTGCACACATACCAAATTCTACATTGTATCAGAATTGCCAAGAATTAGTATAATCTAAATATATGCTAATAAGCCCGGCCAATTGGAACACAATTAACTAAAAGACAGCACTATTTACAAAAGCAATGCAATCATTGCAAAATTGTCTGAAATTCTGACCATCATGTGGCCCAGTAGAAGAGCCATGGCCAAAGTGTACTTGTGAAAAAAATTAACCAAGATATACGATAAGATTTGAAAGAATGTCTTCTTTTTAAAAGAGTGTCATTAGTATGTCTTCCATTCATTTAATGAGGCAATTATTACATGTCACATTTTGGATATGTTAAAGACTGCATTTTTATCTAGTAACAGTTCTATTGCATGATTCTAAGAGACATATGTTCATTTTCATACATACAATTGTCCAATTTTCTTCAATTATGGTGATTTGATACTTGTGTGAAATTACCAGCTAGACAAAATGTGTCTTCTTTCTACTCTTATTATAAGAAAATAGCTCTAATTTTGAAGCTACAATATAGCATAGTCACCTACATTTCACGTTTAGAGCATTTTCATAAAACAAGTTCCATTTAAAATAATATAAATAGTGAGCACAATCATTGCCTAATACCTTAAATTTAGGTGTATGAAGCATTTAAGACCCTGAAGAGCTAAGAAAAGGAAGAGAGTAAATAAAAGAGAAGCCTGTGTAGCTTCTGGTACCTTACCTTGGTTATAATGATGAGAATTAGGCAAGAAAATGGAGCCGTTCTCAATCTGTGCCCCTTTGTGGGAGTGAGGCCCTGTATTCTGAAGTAATCGTTCCTAACCACGGTAAATAAATGACCCCCCCCCAGGCTTGGAATTGTCACAGAAACAGGACAACTGAAACTCTTAAAACTCACTTCTGCTTTGGGTTTTACTCCCCCTTCCAACCTAATCACTGATTTTAAAAAAAAGATTGACATTGAATTTTCCTCTCTAAAGCTCTGTATAAGGCAATCCAGTTTGCTCAGTTGTCTGGAAACAAGACCATGAAAGAGGTTGATCCTGGTCTAGACCAATGAGGTCCCTACAGAGACACACAGATCTCTGGGCACAGATGGAACCTCCCATTGTAGCAAAAGTAGCCACGGAGAACAAGGATTATTTGTATAAAATCCATAATTACTTGCGAAATAAACCTGAGCATAGGTTCCAGTGACTGCCAGTCATACCACTACCTTCGCTGGTCAGGAAGAGATGAGAAAATTAGGCCTGAGGACAAAATGTGCCAGAGGAAAGGCAAGAGGAAGGAAGAGTGGATGAGACGGAACCAGTGAATCTGTCAAAGGCAACTATGACATTTGACTATAAAATGGTAATTTTTTATTGTGTGCCATACATATTGCCTCTGTCAATTTTGGCATTTCTATAAACCCAGTAAATGAGATTTTTAAAAAAGTTATGCGATGAACTAATTTAATACAATTTTGAAATATACACAAACTATTCTCCAAATAGGGAGAAAAAATGCAGAACAAAAAACGCTGTGAAAATAAAACAAAACAAGAGAATCACTCCTAACAACAAACAACAACAAACAAAACATCAATAAAAAGTGGGGGAATGAAATGAAACTAAGGAAATCAGCTAACACAGAATACAAATGAAGGATTGTTGCAAGTTGGTTCTGTGCAGAATTTTAAGGGAATGCCACAAGAAGCCACCACCGAAGGGCCTCATCACAACCCCTTCCATTCACGGGAGAAAGGGAGGGAACTGAGGCGGATTTAGCAAGAGGTTAGCAGCCGGAGGTCTCACCTTTGTTTCCTTGAAGAAGAAAGCAGTTTCACCCTCGATAATTGGCTGCAGCAGAGGGCTTCTCCGCTTGCTGGAAGGGGAACCCTGCGACAGGCGTTAACAAGTAGGTTACATTGCGAACCCCTACCCCCTTCCCCGGCAGCTCTCTCTCGGCCTGCTCTGCCTCACCTCCGCCTCTTCATCACTGCCTTTTAATGATATGCTCCCCAACAGAAATTCCCCGGAAAACCAGCAGCAACCAAAGTGCTTTTCAAGTGGCTTCTTCACTTCAGAGCCCCCGTCCTGCCCCACCCGGCACCAAGGAGCTCACGGGAGAGCAAGGGGAGACACAAGAGAAAGCCCCAGGGGGAACACCTGCCTCCCACCCGCCTCCCCAGTCACGGCCACTACAAGGACACTGCCCTGTAACAGCCTGACCCATGATAACGTCGGCTCACGACATGATACGAAGGCTCCCTGACTTCCCTGTTGTCCATTCACCCCATTTAGGGACACTAGGGGTTCCTAACTGAAGAATGAAAATGATTCTTTAGAAGTAATCCTTGTGCTGGTAATTTATTCTCCAGGAAATTTCTAGAAAAGGACCTCAGGTCTCTAGACGCTCCCTCATTCACATGAGCAAGGGTGCTGTGAAGAGACATAAAAACCTCAGCTTAGGCCTAGAAATAAACAAGGAGACTGAGGCAGGATGGAAGGGACGCTGTGTCCGCTTACTAAAAAAGCCTAGAAACCAGCAGAGGAAGCCTTCGGGTCCCCGGAGATGAGACAAGAGGCAGCTGAAACAGAGGCAACTGAGTCCCCAGGAGGGACAGGGATTCCCGGGCACTCACAGTGGGGGGTGGGAAAGCTGAGGCTGTGGTAGGAGGGCGGGGGCC